AATCAAGTGTTCCCTTGATGATTATAGGGCGATAGTTTTTTGTTAAACAAATCTGCGTTAATCGCAAACATGTCGATGAAAATAGTTCACAAAACATTAGAAATGGAAATATACCGAAAATCTTATTTATTGAATCTCTATGTCTTTGAATTATTATTAATTTCTGTTTTAATTCCTCATAATTACCATCAAATGAATATTTAATTAATAGTTGCTTTTCCATGAGATATACGGCATAACAGGTGTGTATTAACAATAGAGGTATGGCTACTATCCAACCGAATAAATATATAATCCATACAATAGCCCGGATTAGATATATATATAAACCATAATAGATATCGTATCCAATATAAATGTTACATAATATGAAAAATATAAACCAAATAATAGTTAATATTTGAGAGCATTTTTTCATTTTGTTTGATTCATTTACAGTTATTATACTTTCAGTTATATTTGCAAAAAGTGTACGGATTTTAGACACATTTAATTCAAAATATATTAAACTAATTGACAAAATGGATAATTTAATGAGAAATGCCATGATAAATAGACTTTCATATAAAGCAATGAATAGTAATACATCTTGTATAACCATCCAATAGCTGTAAACAATTGCCAAACAAATAGCTAGTTTATTAAAATACATGAACACTGTTTTGAAACACATTTTATTGGTGTTTGTGATGGAGGTATCATAACCCATTAAGAGTAGTATTAATGAAAATGGATAGAAATGTGACTTCATTTTGAGATAATTTTATTTAAAAGTTTACAGAATAACAAATATTTTTCACTATATTTTTAATTAAATTGTTATTGTGGACTATTCTTGAATAATAAATTGTTTAATTTCCTATTTTGCCTTGAAAGCATTTTATTTATTTTTTATATACAGTAAATAACATTAACTGATTGCAATAAAATTAATAAAATTGTTTTTACAATTGTAAATAAAATGTGAGAAAATTTAAATATTATTACAATTCCCGAAAAACCAATAATATTCATTCATTTGATAATTATATTATATTATTTTATAATAACGTATCATGCATAATAACTTTACAATACATTTATTTAAATTTTAAAGCAAACATTAATATATAATATTACATTTAATATCTGGAATTCACTTGATACAATGTATATAAAAAGTTTATTTTTTAAGGGCATATGCTCTACCCTTCGCAACCATAGCCTCCCTTTCCTCCTGCGAGAAGGTATTGATTTGATGGAAATACGGCAATTCCTTGTGGACAGTGGTGTACCATCGCTTATAATTGGCAAATTCGCTTACATCCACTTCCAGCCAATCCATGTATGTTCCGGTGGCTAACAGTGACAGGTCAGCGATTGTCAACTCATCCCCCGTCACGTAATGATTTGCACCAATTATTACGTCCAAAACCTTCAGATTATTCTTCAGGTTTGTCACCATATCTTGTGGCGGATCCACTCCGGCAAACGTTTTAGCCCTCTATTCATATCAACTCAATAATACTTATAGTGATTGTCATTAAGTAGTGGATGAATGAGTGGTTTACCATAAGTTCGCCAATTTGTGGGCCCAAACCCATGTCGATGTTGAGGCACCGGTCGACCAGAGCTCGCTTTTTAGGCTCTCGAGGGTAGAGCTGACCGTCCGGTGCGTATTGGTTACACAGATACTGCATAATGGCTCGACTTTCCCACAATGAGAATCCATTGTCATGGATGGTGGGAACGGTATGCGCCGGGTTCATCTGTTCAGCAAATTAATTATCAATTTAAAAGATCCAACAAATAAAGGTTATAATAGTAACATACCTTGATGTATTCCGGTTTCATATGATCGCCTTCATTCAAGTGAACGCGTTTGAGGTTTACGGGGATATTAAGGTGTCGTATAGTCATCAATACGGCACGGGATGGCCCGCTATAGCGACTGTAATACAAGTCAACTGGCATTTTGTTAGTGATAGTTAACTCGCGAGTTATTCAGTCAAAAGTGAAACAAAACTTTTTTCAAAGTATAAAAGTGTGTGAATGAGAGCTCTGTTTATATACTTGTGTTGAGACTAATGTACGACAAGTGAAGCCAATAGTGAGTGAATGATTAGTTAACTGTAATACTGTATTGCATTCAATTACTCCAATGCTATTCAATAGCTGTGTTATGTAAGGAAAGGTCTGTTTATCACCATTAAGTGAAATGTTTAGTGCAAATACAGTCAACTCTCGCTTTGTTCGACACTACTTTTATGAGGGACTCGCCTAAAAGACCTAAAACCAAAAAGACCTAAACTTAAATAACTAACTGACCAGTGGTCATTTGGCTTAATTTTGGTTATGGTAAGTTAGGTCAGGTCAGGACACGCCTATTCCACTTATCAAATTAAAAATATGTCCATTGGTCAGTTAGTTATTTAAGTTTAGGTCTTTTCGGTTTTAGGTCTTTTGGGGTAGAACCCTTTTATGATGACTTGTCACTGTAACCCTAAACTGTGCTCGCTAGTAATTTTCCACTTAAAATAAATATGGGTTTTGGAAATATAATTAAAAATTAAATATTTAAATTAAATAAGAAAAATAACTGTTTTAAAAAGTTTTCATTCATTTAATCTCATATTTTGTTATAACTCGTACTCGAGTATCAAGATCTAATAAATATCATTAAATAATCACTAAGTCTAGAGTTATTTCATATCATATTTAAAGAAAATTAACTATTAATAGAAATAATATTTATTAAAGTATTTATGAAACTGGATAGAAATGTGAGTTCATTTTGAGATAATTTTATTTAAAAGTTTACAAAATAGCAATTTTTTAGTATATTTTCTAATCAATTGGTATTTTGGATTATTTTTGAACAATAAATTATTTAATTTACTATTTTGCTTTGAAAGCACTTTCTTTACTTTTTAAATACGGTAAATAACATTAACTAATTGAAATAAAATTAATAAAATTGTGTTTACAATTGTAAATAAAATGCCAGAAAATATAATATATTAAATGTAAATAATGTTTGAAATTATAGATAAAATGTCAAACTAGTGGTAAACAAATATCAAATATATATATTTATTTTAATCATCTTTACATTAAATTTTTTAAATTAAAATAATATTTGTCAATTAATATACTTATGTATTTAAAATCTGTATTAACATAACAGTGAATGTAATGACTGAACCCAAAAATACAAATAAAAATTTCAACTCAATTGAAAACACATTGAATGCCATGTATTTAGTTTGTGAATAATATTGCACTTTTTGGTTTAGCAATACATTATACTGTAAATCCCAATACTTTTGTAAATTATTTGGTTTCTCATACTTTTCTAACAACTCATTAACAGTGGGTCTATGAGTTTGAAAGTAATTTATAGCCAATAAATACAATCCATTAATGAGACAGATACATATATATTGAGTCATACTTTTAAGTAGATAG